GAGTATAGCCGGTGCCATTACACTTTCCATTTCAATATATTGCACACCACACTATCTTTTTTACATCCACCGCTCCAAGCTTGCTCCTGTGATGAACTACAACCTCAATACAAACTAGTAGTACATCACTGGAGCCATTTTTTAAACTTTATTTTATTGTTTATCCGATTAACCGAACCTAATAATCGGCTAACTAATCGATTTTGAAAATAATCGTTAGCTGCAGCTCTAATACATTTATGTGGTTACCATCTTTTTCTAGAGAGCTGGCCGTGACGCCGGTCAAAGCAGCTGACAGTGCAGCCAACCCAGCACCGCCCCCACCCTCTGAACAAATCCCCGAAAGCATCCCCCCACCATATCATCGCCTCAGGCACGATTTACCTAGGGACAGCCCTGGCCCCCACATTGAAAGTATGCATAGCAAGAAAGAAAACACTACTCATGACTGGACACTGTGCCCCATCCACTCAACGTGTGTACGCGCGTGTGTGCATGTGTAAATCACTTTCACAATCTTAGTTTCATGTTCAACATAAGACAAAAAAAAACACTTCAAACCATTCAAGATGCTCAAAGTTAACATTTTATTAGACAACTTATTTTGTCTGAACACAATGGGGCAACAGTGGCTGAAAAATTAGCGAATAAAATACCCCAACTCCATGTTCACCTTGGAGATTCCTTTAATACAGCATGATTGGAGCAATTGAGAAAAGTGTGAATGGTTTTGTGCAGGTTCAACAGCCAAGGTAAACGTCAGTTACTCTTCTGTGCTTGATGCACATGTTGTATGACAGTGTCACATACAAGTAGCCCAATTAGCAGTAGATGAATGTAAAGATTAAGTTATACATTTCAGGAAAAAGTGTTTGACAAAAGCGCACAGAAAGGAATCCTTCAGACAAAAGCTTCCCATACTTTCTCTGGCCGAGTCTTAAATGGGGCCGAGGATCTATGGAATTTGCCAATTTGTTTTCTCTTTTCATAATTTCACTTCTGTAAACGCAATCTGGTTCTAACTCTTTGGCAACACAGCCCTTAGGAATGGAATGAGAATCTGAACATGCATCAAGTATGGCTGCCAATAAGAGGCATGTGTATTACAAGAGTGAGAGCTTTGACTCTCTCAACTCATTTGCTAGTTTGAGGCAGTTGTAGTTATTCCACAGATCTGCTGCAACACAGGCTTTTGTGGCTACACGTATACAGGTATGATTGGTAAGCCTGCTGCACATAGTTGGGTGCAGTGTGAACAAAGCTTAACTGACACTGCTGGTAGAGACCATTGACCACTAAAAGGAGAAAGGCTGACGTGGAAGTGGGAACTTACTGCTGTCAATCCTTGGAACTTACATCTAGCTTGGAGGTGGTACCACACTATGACACAGCGTTGCCCTTTAAAAAGGTCATATGAGCTCTTCTGGATATGTCAGGCCAAGTTCACTGAATGACATCATTCACAATATAGGGGAAAAAAAAACACAATTAGCAGTTGGTAAACATGTGAAACAAATGGCTCTTTAAAAAGGTGTAAGCTATACATACAATAGCGACCAACTGTCCATAAATTGTTGAAGACTGTAGGATTGAATGCTACATGCTAGTTGTGCAGGTCTCACCATAGGGAGCCTTTTGTTTGACATGACTAGTAATCATTTACTATTAGAGGTTTTACTAACAACTGAGCTACCAAAACTTGATTATGTAGCTCTCAGGCAGGGAGAAATGACATGGGCACTCATAGGCCTCTAGCTATAGTAAGCATAGATATAGGGGTAGATGAAGAAAGCAGTGACTGTCACAGGTGAATCTTTGTAGTACATGGGTTTTCAATGACCGGGAACGATGCACCTGCAGTGATCCAAAGCTTCACAGATATGCCCCTTAGTGTTGTAATTACTTGGCAAGCTCCAGCTACTCGGAATTATTGAGGAAAAAAAGGCAAGTACAAGAGACCAAAGAAGCCAATTGTGCAGTTGAAGGCCCTTACATTACAGCAACACAGAACAAGGGATACTACAAACTGGATTGGATCCTTCCACAATTACACACAAAAAAAGAATAAGAATGAAAGTGACAATCATTCACAAAACTGAGAACGAAAAGGCACTGCCCTATATTAGAGGGCAGAACATAACATGAGATTTAACAGTAAACAAGTAAAGATGCTACAAGTGATTGAGAATGTTGTACAAAATGGGAGAACAATGTGGTTTCCCAATGTCAAATCATTTTTTGTTTTCACATTTTCAAAACATTCCATTGTAATTGGTGGTTATGTATGCATATACATTCACTTCCCATGAAGCATCAAATCCAATTGGACCCCACACATTAAAGAAACATTGTCAAATGAAATTGTTCATTAACTAGACTTGTCGCCAGAAAAAAAATCTTAACCCCCCCCCAAAACTAGGGGGTCCAGAGAGCATCTGATTGCCTTATAGTATCAGGAAAAGTATTGGACCAAATCGGACTACACTAAGGGTATGTGCATTCCTCTGAATCCACTTTGGGTTTAGCGGGATATGGGAGTAGGTTCTTTATAGATTTATTCTGGTTTGGTTGAACTTTTTTTTGTTAATTCCCAGAAGGAATGTTACCAAAGTTCTCTCCAGCAGGTGATCACTGAGGATTTGTTAAAGATCTACTGTTTTGGTGGACTTTTCAGCATCTGACATGTCCAAGTGTGCTAGATGCCTGTTCCCATCAGCCATTATGTCACTGTGTCATATAGTGATGCAAGTGCTGGCAGATTCAATCACAGTGCGCAGCAATGGGGGCACAGCCATCCTGCAACGGTCAAGTGGTAAGATTCTCTTGAAGGCCATAGATCTTTAGCAAAGCCATGATCAAAGTTTGTGCCCCCTGAGGATGTAGGCATTGACGATCTTTTACAGAGGGTTTAGTTTTGGAAGAAAAATCCCAGCGAAGGTCTAACAGCTTTTAAGCTTGTCCGCTTTTCCATTTCAATATCATTGTTATAGAGGGGGCTTAGAAATATTTAACCTGGTCAATGATTTAGAAAGCCACCAATACTGCAGAGATCTCAGTCTTTTGGATTTGTTTGTTCAAAATAGGAATGTGAAATAGTGTCCATGAAAATATAGAATGGCCAAAGGCACTGATGAATGTTTAACTGTTCAAAGGTTCTGTAAATGCCTACAACAGGCCCTGTAGGCTTACCAGGAAAACTTCACCCAAGCATTTAAAAAGGGACATTAAACCCTCAGATTTTTTTAAATAAAACAATACTGTAATCCATGGTAGTTTCCCTTCTCTTCCTTTTAAATCTGGATCTCTTCTCATGCTGGGGGAGAATTTCCCTTTGCAGCTGAGTGCCTCTTCCTGCAGTGCTGGCTCAGGTTGTGAACCTACACACAGACACCATGTATCCATTCCAGAGACAAGGCAGTCTGCTGCAAAACAGAAGTTCTGCCCAGCATGAGAACAGATACAGATTTAAAAGGAAGAGCAGCAAAGAGAAGGGAAACAACCATGGATTACAGTAAGGCACACATTACAGTATTGGTTTATGTTAAACAAATCTGAGGGTTTAATGTCACTTTAACTGCAGGAATTGAGTTACTTCTCTGCACAATGGACTGCCAAGCTTTAGGAGGCATTTCTACACCAGCCTCATTCTGTCAAGGTGGTCAGAATTTCCCTGTTCAAGTCAACTGGGAAAATTTGACAATAAAGCCCTGATGGTCAAGAAAATACACAGATTCAATTTCTGCCCAAACTTAGGCAGGATCATCAATGTGGAAGTAAAAATGGCAGAGAAGTCTATCCTACAAGACTGTCAAACCCAGGGCTTGCACCTGGTCTTCTTGGCTGGCATATTGGTCATTTAACCAAACCACCAATACCTAGGTGGAGTTCTTCCTTCTTTACACGGTTATCCATTCACCAAGAACCCAAAACTCCACTGGATTCAGACATTAGTGGTTTCTAATGCATGAATAGGATATGCTCTTATGCCCACAAGACTGACACCCTGTAAGAGTCAGGTACACTAAGGCTGACGCAGAGGGTTCTGTCTCATGCACACCGATGCATCCCCCTTAGAAATGTGCTTTTCAGCATTAATACATTTTTTTGTCTTGTAAACCAGAAAGTAAGTGGCAAAAGGAAAGTTGTCCACAAAATGGAAAATGATCCACAATAAAGGCTCGTAATAAAATGGATTCCTCAAATTATTCATGGCAATGTAAATCTAGTTTTCTCTTTAGTGTCCTGCTATGAATTTCCTAGTGAACATGGATTTCATAGACTTATGTGATGCCATCACTAAATTGAAGACATTCTTCCGAACCCTTACATTTAACTATATATTCCTTTCACATTTCTCATAAGGAAAATTCTCCCTAATGTTTATCAGATTATACCTTGCAGTGAGGTAGAGAACAGTCCCACACAGGGGTGAACATTAAACATGGAGTCATAGTTGTCAGCCAAGTAACCATATACATGGGAGCATTGCAGATAGCACTTTTTCAAACCACTGACCAACTGTAGTCATGTCATTTGACTCCGAGAAAGAAGCCACAGAGCAGAAAATGAATATACATGTTTATCGCCTGAAGTCCAGTGACAGTTTGAGGTTTCTTCTACATGTATAAAATCACTAGTTGGTTTGGGGAATATATTGCTTACTCCTTTATGCCACACAAGCTTTTTTTTATATTAGAAAGTACTTGTGTATGCTTGTAGCCTATATAACTTATGGTTTATACAGCCAAAAAGCAGAAAGCCCTTTGGCATTGGAAAAGTTCATTTGTAATGAACAATTTGGTTAATTGTATGCCATTCCAATAAGAAATGGTTACTCAGGTTTTCAACCACCTTCTGTAGCCAAAGCATTACAATGATACCCCAATAAAAATGTTACCACCAAGCAACATAAAGCCATGTCACAGGTCCCCCTAAGGAGCAATTTTAAATTCCCCAATGACACAAACCTTCTGGTTTACAGAAAGACCAAAGCAAGCGTGTTTGATGCTGGAGGCAATGTTTATTACACATATTGACAACAAGCTTTTTTGGCAAACATTCCACTAATCACATCTGTAAACAATGTGTCCCTTTTTTTTCATTGGCAGCACTTTTTATGGGAAGGGGAAAGAAAAAAAAAATAACCAAAAAGTGAACTTCGGTTTATTCAGAATGCCAAGAAAACCAAAAAAAGTCTGTTCCCATATGAAAAGTCATTTTAATTAAAGTAAACTGGTACATTGCATGAAATGCAACTTTGTGCTGTCTGATGATCACAGTATTTTCTTATAGTTAAATATAATCTGTACTTTAGTCTACTCCTGGTTTGCAGGAGATAAAAGAAAAAAAAAAATCTTTAAATATACATGTAGGTAAATAGCTTCTTTGCATATCTTTCAAAAATACTTTATATCAGTATATAAATAGGTTACCTACACGGTTATATTTCTTAATTTGTCACCCAAAATAATGTGTCTTGGTTAAACCCCTTCACAAGAAGATACCCCCTCTCTAATGAAAGGGCTAGGCTCAGCTTGATACCAGCTCCCTCATCAGCCCTCCCTTCACTCCTAATAATGTGGACAAATCCTTGAAATGGAAATGCTTCGGTTTTATTTTCCCACAATAGAAATAGCAAAGTCATAGGAAAACCCCTACACTAACACTCGCCAGTTGGTTAAAACCTGAGCGTTTGGCCTACTTCATAGCAGCTTTGTGATTTCATCATGCATGCCCACACACACGCAATCCTTGCACGCGTACAAGCACACTCCTAGACGCTGATAGGCCACAGAGTGCTTCCCGCTAGGTTTCATGAGAGGGGAAGCAGTGTAGCTAATACTTAACTACACCAAGTATAAACAGGCAAACACCTTAAGGCATCCATTGAAGTCAGGGGTACGATTTGAAAGTTAACGATCAAGTTAAGGACAGAGAGTTTGTTTGTTTTTTCCTTACATACACTTTCTGTCCCTTAACCCACCATTTTTTTCTAAAGGTTTTTAATACATTTTGTGCAAATTTTTTTTTAACCTTATACCACGTAAGGCAAAGGGTTTGCATTAAGAAAGGTCAGAAGACAGACATTTATCCAAAGCACATGATTATGCTACATAAATGCGCAGTTCATCAGGTATAGGCACCGGAGAGCCAGTAGCTATACTGATTTCCACAGATAAATGACAGTCCAAAAAGGACAAGGAAGAGGAGAAAGCAGCTTTTAAATAAGCAGGATAAAGGAAGGTCGGGCATCAGGAGAAGAAAACAATACAATGTCTGCTAATACTGAAACTCCTGAAAAGTTTCTTTGCTTTATCCTAGCGTAACACATGTGGAATTTTAAATAAATAACGTTGAGTTTTCACATCTTGTCTAAGCAGAGCGTTAGTGCCAGGACTCTGCCCGTCGTTGGTCAAACTCTCCTATTAGTCTTTTAATGTGGGCGAGCTTGTTGTGCAGGTACTCGCATCTGTACTTTTCTTCATAATAGTTTGGACTTGCCTGGAAACAGAAAAACAAAAATATGATTACCATGAGTCAAGCTGAGAAATTTAGTTTAGCAAGCACTGCAGTGGTTACAGTTCTAAAGCTCTGTCAGATTCTAGGGAACTTGCTGTGCACACTTACCAAAATGCTATGGTCATTACAAGGGGACATTTACCATTAGTACAAGATGAAAGCACAGAGACCTCACCACAGATCATGTCCCTGCAAAAAATGTAAAGCAAGTGGCTGACCAAACCACATTTAGTTAGATGAGGTAAGATTACTGGCTAATGTCTTCACTATTCTAACCCCCCCTCCCCGATAAAGCCCAGTCATGTACTGTGTAATGGAAGTGTCTAGGACAGGGGTAGGCACGACCTCGGCTCTCCAGCTTTGCTGAAACTACAAATCCCATAAGGCATTGCAAGCCACAGGCATGACTTGCAGAGGCAGAAGCATCATGGGATTTGTAGTTTCAGCACAGCTGGAGAGCCAAGGTATACTGAGACGCCGCAGCGGATCCCGACATCAATGTCGAGATCCACCCAGCTGCGTGAGTGACAGCTGGCTCTGCCTATCTAGAGGCAGAGCCAGCTGTACCCGCCCCCTCCCGTTACGCCAGTCAGCGCTGGCCGATCGGAGCGGGGAATCCATCCCCTACCCCGTCACGGCAGAGAGCTGTGACAGGATCGAGAAGTGAGCGAACACCAGCATGTGTTCGCTCACCTCCCGATCTACAGAGCCGACCTGTGACAGTCTTTGTCCCAGGTCGGCTAGAACTATGAGGTGAGTGAAAAGCACTCACCTCATAGTTCTCCTTTAAGGAAAGAATGTTATGTCATTCAATGCAGTGTCTGAATGACCTTTCCTTGCATGTTCACCCATGTTGACGTCTAATTTGTTGCTCATTTGGCTACAAAGAAAAACCATCCTGTTCGACAACTTACCTCTTTAAATTTACGATATTCTTTGAGAACTTCTTCATGCACAATCTGCAAGATAAGGACGAACTTTGATAAAGTGCACAGAAATGGGAAGAACGTAAACAGCACACAATTGGTGTCTAAGCATTTCCATTTTTTTCCCTTTAACGTCAGTGTCTGCAGGAGCTTATAGTTGGGTTCACCCTGCTTACTGCTCCGTTCACTTGTGGGAGAAGCTGGCCTCTCTAAAAGGTGCCCATACACCTTACAATTATCTGTGATCGTGTTTTCATCCAAAAATCTGCCAGTTGATGGGAAGTGCACAACCTCAATTACTGTACAACTGGCAGATTTTTGTCTTTCAAGCAGGCTACAAAACATTTGTCTGGTTGGACGAAAATTGACAGGTTAGTGGCGTTGTTATACACAAACACAAATTGCGAACTACATTGGTCTGTGCATGATGGGGTAGTTGAATAAAAATTGAATGAGGGTGAGATGTCTGAACAAAAAAAATTGTACAATGGTTGTAAGGTGTATGACCACCTTTAGTGTACTATACCCCAATTACAGGTGACCTGGGTTCAGCATGCAGGAACAGTGCTCAACGAGAACCTACATCACAGCTGTTATTAGAAAATCATAAAACAATCTAGCCATGCCATTTCCAAGGCTCTGGATAAACTGTATTAGCATTAATATAACCACTACTGTTATTTACACTATGAACCCATCCATCTTCCATGTGGCTGAGAAATCGTGACAATATAAAATGTGACTGCAGGTAGAACATAATGGAATCAGTCAAAGGCCCTGTTCTAGTTCAGCCATTCGACCTGTAAACACATGGTAAACTGGGCAAAACTTAGTGGACCTGAACTCAAAAAGTGAAGATTTGCCATGTTATATGGAAAATATACAAATATTAAAACAGTGCCCAAGCAGTAACATGGAAAAAAAAATTCTCCCCTTTTGTCTTCAATGTCCCCTAAAAATATAGCGGTGCACACTTACCAAGCAGAAAGTAGAGCCTGCATATGTAGTGAGTACACAAAGCTACACTATAGTAAATTTAATAAAGCAGACAATTGTTTAAAGAAAAAATCCGGGCAAAAACCCCCCGTGCAGTGGGGCTACCACTGCACAGCAAGGGTTAACTGCTTGTTTGCATTTAGGTTGTAGTCACCCGAACCAGGAAGCCAGCTTGCTCTTAGACCGGTCCTTCCAGCCACTTTTCCCCTCAGCTGCAGAGGTCTAAGGTCACGTAAATCACCACATTCTACACAGTGTATAGACCTGAGGACCATTTCAATGCTACAGCATAAGAGACTGGCTTCAGAGACAGGAGAAGCAGGGAGGTGGCTCAGCGGTTTGGGAGAGGAGAACTTTTTAAGCAAGCAGTTAACCCTTGCAGTGGGTGGCCCTATGCAAGGGTTAATAAAAGTTTCCCTGAGGTTCTTCTGACTATGAGAGGAAACTGTTTCCACAAGTCTCTGCAGAAAGCGACATTCCAGTAGTGATCAGTAAGAGGAACCACTAGCACTGCGGTGACATGGAGAGAATCGCTGAAATGTCCCTTTCTGCAGAGAGTGCGGGACGATTTCTCCTCCTTGGAGCGGTGCTCTGTGGCACAGGCAGCAGAAAAGGCAATTCTTTATCTTCTTTGCAGGTAACTTTGGTTTTGCCATTTTGATGTGAAAGTCTGAGTCACACCATAAAACAAACCTCACCTGATATTCCTTAGAACCAGGAGACAATCGCTTTCTTTGTGCATCCAGCTGCATAAATCTTCTGGTGATACTTTCTACTCGGGCGTGCAAACGCCGATATTCATCATATTCAGAGTTGAAGTCATCCTTGTAGCTCTGCCTCTGCTCATTAGACACAATGACTGTGTATTTCCTACAAAAGAAACAATTGTATGTTGGCTGTGAGAAGCCCATTAAAGACATTCCAGTAAAAAGCATTTGCTGTTCAGAAAAAAAAAAAAAAAAAAAAAAAAAAAGACACCCTACAAAATGTCCCATAAACTTTAAAATGAAACAAGACGAGCTAATCCACGTTGAAGAATATCATCTTGTTCCTTCACTCTGCCAAGTTCAAGGGGCCCAGATAGATCCGTCAGATCATAAACCTTTCCTACAAAAACAATCTTCCAGTCTATATGGAATTGAACATTTAAAAGTGCAATTTATACACTTCAAACTTCAAAAGTCCCTTTAACCCCTTCACTACCAAGTGTGTATCAATGGCAGAACAGCACCACTTCAGCATAGTGACATAGTCCACCGATCATGGACATGTAAAGGAAGTGGCTGGGGGTGGTGGGTGACAGCAGTTGAGAGCGGTCAGTCAAGGCAAGGTGGTGTTTATGGGAAGGTTCTTTGCAGGAAACTTGGTTCTGGTGAGGAGAGATACATTACAACTTAGGAGAGGAGGATCAGGATTAATGGACAGATCTTTAGATCTACTAAGTAGGATACGGGCCGGCCTGAATTTGTTTCACATCAATAGAAAGTCTAGGTAAGTCCTCACATTACACAAGTCTTCGCAAATCTAAAGCAGATTTTCGGTATACATTTTATAGAAGGTCTCTGAATTGAATAGGAAGAAAAAACACATTCCTGCTGTCCGAAAAGGCTTCAGCCACAGACTAATAATCATTCATAAACCTTTACACAGGACTAGTGTGTCCACTGACAGTTATAAATTATTTTCATGAACTGTAAAGCAAAACTGTTCCTGAGATTGCCATCTTAGTTCCATCTGTGGCGCGCACAAAGGCTTTTACAGGAGTAAATGAAGCTGCATAATGCAAGGCACAAAGGTTGAATGATGCTGCACGCTGTGAATGCTTAAAGTGCATTTCTATTTTTGCAGCCAAATTGTTGAGAACACCTACTTTCTATTTATTCCCATTCACCTATCATAACCTGAAAAACATTTCAAATTTGCTTCTCATTGTATGGAGGGGGCTGTGGGGACATTGGTCATAATTAACTCTGTCTGTACTGTGCTGGCAGACCTTCACTTGTAAACTAGATGTGCAGGACTGTCTGTCCTAACTCAAGGCTTGCGTGGCACATTGTATGTTAATGCACTTTAATAAAAGCAATGCCTCAGTCTGTCCCTCATTTGCCTTCTATTCTAATCACTAGAAATTGTCTGTAGTGTCCTATGCACCAGATGAAAGGTTATTTTCTTTTTAAAAATTACGCATAACTAAACCCAAGAAGAAAAACAATCCTGCAGTTACCAGGCCATAGACGAGTTGGCTGCAATAGTTCTTTTTCAGGCTAATAAAGTGCAGTAAATATTCGACCGACCAACCATGATTTCTCCATAGATACAGGGAAGGGGCAAAACACAACTACCCAGGGACAGGAAGCAAGTTATTGGCAGGATTACCAGGGAAAAAGCCTGAAAAAATTAAAACAAATGCAACTACCACATGGAAGAGACTGCTATGCTGCAATATACTATAATCTTGTTTTTTGGGTTTGACATCACATCTTTCTGCCTTCAGGAAGGGACGCTGCGCGGCACCGAAACGTCAATTTGGATGTCTTGACGCTTTCTGCCCAATAAAAAGGGACATATTTATCTTCACTACTGAGTGCTGGTTATTTCCTGACTTTCCTGTGTTTGCACGGCTCCATCCGTGGTAATTCATCACTGCGAGCACCACTTTTTTCTTATCTGGACGGGACTGCAGTGAGTGCGGAGGGTCTCTCCCTCTACTTAAATTACATTAGAACATCAGTAAAATGACTAAAATGCCACTTCACTTACACTATGTAATCTGGCAGTTCTGTTGTGGATGAAGGTTCTGAAGGGATGCAAGATTCCGGAACATCTGTAGGAAAGAAAACAGTCTCATTTAGGGGGGATAAAAAAGCAAACAATGACAAGATATCCTTTATATTATTCGGTCAGAGATATACAAAATAACATTCCATCACATAAAAGTATCCCCACATGGGCACAAAGTATGACTGCAACAACCCATACAAGCCTATTATGAAATACAGTAACCTTCGCTCATTTCACGTTTTCATCCATGTGGCAGTAAGAATCAGATTGAAAATCTCTGAAATCCTGCTGCCAAAATTTGTGCACAGCACATTTAAAGCTGGACTCTAATACTGTGTGACTGTCTCAGACATTTGCAGGCTTGCATTGTATGCGAGGACAGTGATGACCTGCTCACAGCTTGTGTCAGAGAGAAGGAGAGCGCTGACTTCACAGGGAGGAATTAGAGCCCATTCTCCATTCCCTAGATTTAATGAGCAGTTGGGGGTACTGCAAATGTATTTTACAAAAAATCAGCTTCAACCCGGTACATTCTCTGCATATATCCAAGACAGATGCTGAGTGATAGATAGGCGATGGTCTTCAATGCTAAAAGGAAAGCAAACCGTCCACACAAAGCATGACACAGCAAAACCAACACCTACTTTAGCAGTAACATCACCAGAAGACTTGGGAAGATATGCTGCTCCATGACAATGCAGGTTTGGACAAGGACCTGGATACTGGCATTTGGAACAATTTTAAACTTTAAAGAAAAAAACTGCTAAAAGAAAACGTTCCATTTCAACTTCAGTAACTTTTCTGCATAAACAGAAATCACTATAACGCGGCTTCAACTGTTATGGACTGCCATGGGTGACTTTGCTGGCAGAACAGCAAACAGGGAGGAGAAAGACTAGCACATTGCTGTTCAGTGCGAATAAGGGTTAAAGTTCATCCCTGGGCAAACAAAAAGTACCCCCACACTGCAAGGGTTAAATGCTTATTTTTGTGTAAGGGCTGGAGTAAAGCAGATTTACTTACCTGAACTTGCTCCAGCCAGTGGAATGTTCCTCAGCGATCTTATGTCTAAACGCAGGTCTATGGAACCTGCAATGGCCTTTAAGACCGTCGAAGCCCAGGGACCAGAAGGCTGTGGGGACCGGTCTAGGAGCCCAGAGGGAGCCGGTGTGAGCGGGGATCAGGTAAGTAAATGTGCTTTATGCCAGCCCCTAAACAAAAACAAGCACTTATCCCTTGCAGAGGCAGGATACTCCCTCCAAAAAGGTACTTTTGTTTGCCTGGAGATGGGGTTATGTGAAAAAGCCTAAAGCTGCCCATACACCTTACAACCACTGCACGACTTTCGTTGTGTGATGGTGTTAAGGTAATTAAAATCTCGTACATCTGCCCATCTTGGACAGGTACTTACGATCATCGCAAGCCCTCCCCGCTGAGGGGAGGGCTTTCTGATGATTCCAATGCTGAGCGAGCAGTGTGCGCTTGCGCACACCGGCCCGTTCGGCATTTGTCTTCCGAGCATGCCACTAAACCGCCGAAAATCTTACGATTTTGGGCAGGTTTTACAGCATGCTCTGAAGACAAAAGACGTGCGACCGTACAGTAGAAGCGGTCGCACGCCTTCCATACACCTGCCGATTATCGCACGATCGCGGGATCACCCACAGCCATCGTACGATAATCGGCAGGTGTATGGGCACCTTTACACTGAACTGCTCTCCCTTAATGGGATGCTAAATACACCAAGTGTTCTATTATACCTGTTCGATAAGCACAAAAAACACCCGTTTCTATTTTGCACAAGGAGGACTTCTGGAGATTAGGATGGTGGAGATGAGGAGAGATTTGTGTTCTTTGTATTTCATCAGAAAAGGAATAGGCAGGGCTGAAACCACATGCTTTGGAATTCAGAGCCAAAAATATACGGTTGTCACATCAACAGGTATGTTTCTTGTTTTGCAGTGTGTTTAAAGGAATAAAATATGGGGACATGTGTATGTAATGTAGAGATGTGTAAAACAGGTTTTTTTTACATTTTGCCTAGACATTCACTTGAAGTAAATGTTATGGTGGTTACTACTGACAAAGATCTGCACAAGCATTCAGCCAAAATCGCTCCAAAACCAATCTCTACATACATCCTGATCAAGTACATTTGCATGCAACAGCTTCAAAGTAGGTGACCTGGTGTATCTTTACTGACTCATGGAACCTCATGTTCTCAACACATCTAGTAATAAAGGATTAATGTGCCTTATATATTTGGCTGGATTATAAACCAGAAAAGTTAGCTACAATAATGCCGAGAGACTGTCATAGCTTGCAGACAGATTAAGCTTCTACAGTATAATGGAGTCTGCGGCTTCATCATCATACTGGGTACACCAATTCCGGATTATGCAGCAGAAGTATAGACCACCACAGATGTTCACACTTTTCAGTAATGAAAGCAGGTGCAGTACTCATTGATCATTCTGAAAACCACAAACGCATTCTATTTTTGATGTTCCCGGCGTTCTCAGAAACCGGAGTTTCTATGAAGATGTAGCAATACGTCAAGTACAGTATGTAATAAATGCAGCAGCCCCTCTGGCACAGTGTACCAGTCCCCCCAAAATCACCCAACATTCAGCTCTATAAAGATGGTGTACATATGGACTTCAGTATGTGACAGAGCAATGTGTTACACCAATGTTTTACAAAGTATTTGCTTTAAAGACCTCAAAGCTTCATGGGCGTAATGACTGACACTTCACACAAGCTGCTAGAAGACTTTCAGCAAGCAGTGCTGCGGTGCACTGAAGCCAGCTGGCAGCTTTGTTAAGGTGGTAGTCAGCAGTCATTAAAATCTGTTTAACCTCCCCAAACCAGAAATGAACGGTGCTTTAATATGCTTTATTAAAGCGGAGTGAAATTTGCTGAAAGTTTTGCCAGTGTTCTGTAAAAGCCTGCGTTCCAGTCCAGTGCGATCTGCAAAACTGCTGCAAGTACTATTGTTGCAGATTGTACTGGACCAGAACGCAGGCACTGATGTGCCACGTGTTCTGGTGTGGGCAAATCGCACTGCGGGTGGGGGACCCCCTCTCACAGGAAGCTGGACGGAATGTGCGTTCGAGGCTGACCGCTCTGGAGTGCACCGTTTATGGTGTGAACTGTCCCTTAAAATTCGTGTAATGGGGCTGCCCTCACACAGCAAGGGTTAAATGCTCATTTTTGTCTAGGGAATAAAGCCGATTTACTTACCTAATTCCCTGCTCCTGCCAGCTCCCCTAGGGCTGTAAGACCAGTCTCAGCAGCCTCTGCTGCCTTAGGCAGTCTAAGGACCGCTGATGTCATCACATCTAATGCAGGTTCCAATGACTTGCATTAGAAATGAGGATGCAGAGAGATGGGGGAGAAGAGGGGAGCACTGACTGTTGGGAAACGGGATCAGGTAAGTAAATATGTTTTACTCCAGCCCCAAGACAAAAATGAGCACTTTGAGAACTATGGGGTCAGGGCTTTTCCCCATAATTCTCCTAAGGGTCACAGGAGAACACAAACTAGCATTCTCCCGTGACTCAAAGCTCAGTATACCGCGAGCTACAGCTCGCGGTATACCGAGACGCCGCAGCCGGTACGGATCCCGACAATACTGTCTGGATCCACCCAGCTGCGGGATTGAGCCAGCTGTGCCCGCCCCCTCCGTTTCGCCAGTCAGCGCTGGAGGATCAGACAGGGGAGGAATCCCTGCAGGGAGCCGTGAGTGACAGTGACGGCTCTCTGCAGAGATAGCATTGTTAGCTCACTTCCCGATCTACTGAGCCGACCTATGACAGTCTCATTGTCACAGGCCGGCTCAGATTATGAGGCTGAGTGAAAATCACTCGCCTCATAATTCTCCTTTAAGCCTTGCAGTGCTAGGACCACTGCAAGGGTACTTTTTTGTATGTCTGGAGATGGGGTTTAAAGGCAGCACAGTTCTTGATACCAGGATTGGAATCCTTGCCTTTTCTTTCACAAAAAGGATGAATGTTCTCTATGAACAACCAGACATTTTCTTTAAATGCTTATCAATATATGGAGGCCCATATAGTGCCATCTGCATATAGTTAAACACATTCTATAGTTGTCACAGATACTGTATAATATTGCTGCACCTTTCTTTTCATCCAGGCTGGGGCTCTTTTCTGCCTTAATGATTTCTTCTTTCTTTAGGTGTGCTGGCTTTTTTTCCTCTGTAGGTTCAGCGTCCAGTTTCTTGCGTTCTTTATCCTTGTGTTTTTTGGCTTTCTTTGCCTTTTTGTGCAATGTGCTATTTTTATCGTCCGTGGGGTCCAAGTTTGCCATCTTAATTGGAGTTGGTACAGAATTTTCCAGATTAGTCCTAGAGGTATATTTTTCTTGCTGGTCCTCATAGGTGCCACTATTCTGACTGAAAGTGTCCATGGGCAGGTCCTGTGTCCCCCGACCCTCAGGAGTACTAGGCGAATTGGAGTTTGAGTTTAGATTTTGCGGGTTGGAAACTGGAAGGCGTGCAGGTGGAAGTTGAGGAAGTGTTGGGGTGGCGGCAGCAGAGGGTGGAGGCGGTGCAGATGCTGGTTTGTCACCCAAGTGGCCATTTAAAGTGGGCTGCACGCGGTTTGTAAGGTGAGAGATCCTTGGCTTCTTATTCATTAAGGGATCAATGAATTCTGAATCCAGAAGTCGTTTCTAGAAAAGCGCAGAAAAGGAAAACACGGTTAGAAAATAGACCCCCAATTCACAATCAACTAAACTTTGTTTATTATACACTACTTGTGATGTAATAAGTCCAGTATATGACGTATATATTACAAGGATTTCCTGATATTTTCAGGCTCATTCAGTAAGGTGGGAATAAGCAGCAACTCATAGCAACCAATTGCACTGCAGAAACTTTAAGAATGCCATATGTGTAGTCTATATAGACTTGAAATACCAAAACTGGGCATTTAATGTGCATGCCCACTGACCTTCCAGTGCACAGAAGTTGGTTTTTTTTATTGTGGCCAATTGGCACTGAATAAATGCAGACTACAACTTCTATTCACAGACACGGACCTTGATAAAGTGTTTAAAAGCTGAACGCGAGTATTCTTACTTGATTTCTTGTGTACTTCTGCCAGATCTCTAGTAATCCTCCATGAAACAACTCCAGCACTTTCCTGTAATATAGACTAGTTTCTGCGGCTCACTCTCTGTGCAGGGTGACTGGTCTTGTAGCCAACCCTCCCCTAGTTTTCGGCAGGCAGCCTGTAGTAGGTGGACCTGCTGGGTCCCTCCCATGGCTCCTCTCTCTGCATAAGTACTTGCAGTACAGTAATGATGGCACAGCTACTTGTACAAAGTAATATCTGGTTTTGCAAAAGGCATTTGGTGCACAGTGGATTATTGTCCTTTGTGGCTATTGCACATATAGTAAAAGGACTCTGGTTAAGAAATATTAACCCTTGCAGTGGGGCTACCTCTGCAATGCAAGGGTTGAGTGCTCATCAAAAAAAAATAGAGTTATAATCACCAGACCACCTGAGCTGGCTCACGGAATAAAATCACAGTCTGTGCATAGAGCGTGAGGACACCAGGATCCTTAGAACGCTGCAACAGAGGGGGAGAGACTCTCGAGACACCAGTCCAAGAACAAGTTGGCTCATATGGCCTGGTAAGTATAACTTTTTTTATCACCTGGACACAAATGAGCAGTTAACCCTTGTAGTGTAGGGATAGCCCCACGGCAAGGGTCAATACATTTTTTTTCTTTGAATAAAAATCATTGTGCTGCAAGCTTTAAAGCACTGGGTGATGGAATCACAAGAGTTTTTAGTATATAAACTGATTTTATAAGACACACAATTTCGAAGTTTAAAATAGCAGCTTACACAAGTCATAAAATAAGAGTCTTAAACACATAGGTACTATCAGTGCCAACACTCCTTCCACTTTAATATCAGAAGAGGAATGCTAAAAGGAGCAGGCAGTGCCGCATGCAGCAAACAAGCCAGGGCTTTTTGTGCAATAGATCAGAGCTGGATTCATTGCAGTTCTCCATTTACTGCCTGCATGCATGTGCCACATTTCACAAGGAAGCTGCTGATCTGGAATGATCAGACTAGAGCCTACTGACCTTGGAGCTGCACTGTTCTGTTAGAGAAAAGGTTGCAAAGGAAAACACTAAAGCTGAGAATTCTCAGAACAAAAAAAAAAAAAAAACTCTTCCAATAGGCGCTAGAATAGGACAAAGGTTTATCACAAAGTGCCCGTGTCCCCAAATACCTGGGTAGGAGATGTAGATGCAGCACTTGACGGAGGAGGAGAGTCTGATTGACCGGAGCTGGCATTCTGAGACTGGTTAAGTTTTCTGCCAACAATGAAACCACATAATAGATTATAGTGCATAAGAAAACCGTCAGCATTGCACTTTCACTGCACTAGTGATGGCAGACCAACTTTGTTTTTTTTTTAAATTTTACACTTGAAAAAAATGGATTCAAGTGCACAGAGCATTACACGAGTGTATGAATAAACACAATGACATTGGGTTTTAGACAAGGGAGCACATACCTAGAAAGAACTCTGTCTAGTAGCTGTTTATCGCCATCCAAGTATCCAGGCCAATCCCTCTGTATTTCTTTGTAAACAAAATCCTTAAGTGTATACGAATTGTCCTTTGGGTTCAAATTGGCAACCTAACGAAGAGCAAGTAAAAAGGTACATAAGATATCTGTAACCAGCATTTACAAATTAACCTAGAAAACAGGCTTACAAATCTAGTTTGGGTAGTAGAAAGGAGCAAGAATGTTTTTAGAGCAAGTCAAGTTCCAGATTCATTCCATAAAGTGTGAACAAGACTCCTCTACACATGGCAGAATTCTTTTCCCGAGCCATGGACTTCCACTGCCAAAAAACTCTGCCCCACCTAAAATGGTATGATAGCATAGCATTAGAAGTAACTGCGTGGATCAAACATTTTCTGTTTACAGTGATCTTGTCACCCATACACCTGCTGGGCTCAGTCACCAAGATTTGATATAGTCTGGTACTTTGAATCTCATGTTTGCATTCATTTACTAGGACCTAGTATTATGCATGCCATGCTAGAGCACAAGAAACATGACGACAAGTACAGTACACTTGCATACAGGTATATGTATATTTTTCTTATTTTGGAAACAGTAAGGAAGGCAGCTACATTTTGATGGCAGTGTCCCTTTGGGGAGGAGATATCCCTTCACTTCCCAAGAAATGCAAAAAGTTAAAAAGGAAAATCTCCCAAAAAGGGGAAAACTCTTACAGTTGTCCCCAGGCCAGGTGTCTCCTTAGAAGATTGCCCCTTTCAAATGTTCAATCTCCCCTTTCTCTCTCAGGGACAATGGTCACCAGTACAAATAGAGGTGTGAGTCAAACTGGCAGAGGATCTAACACATCCATTTCAGCCAACATTTTAATAAATTGCTCTCCCTAGAGATGCCCTTCAGTCCAGAGCAGGATTTAGGCTCCATTCACACTTTAGGCGTATTGTCGAAAACGCTACACCCAAGGAATCCCATTCATTTCTATGGCTCCCATTCACACGCAGAAATGTGCCTGTCGCACAAACTAGTACATGAGCTACTTTGGGGCAGATTTCAGCGTGTCTTGTACCATAGACTCAATAGAAAAACTCTTGCAAAACGTGCATTGCAATTTTTTTTGTGCATTTTGCCCATTCACATGGATGTGCCAAAACCGGTTCAACAAAAATGTGCAACTTCATATACGTGCAAAAAAACTAAAGGAGAAAAAAAAAAAAAAGAGACGCGAGTGAAACACATAATAGGTGTCGCCTAGGTGTGAATGGCGCCCAAGGGCTTGTGTGATTGATGCGTGGTACTGCGCGCACACACACACACACACACACACGCACCTAGCGCGTGTTAACAGTGCGGGAGGTGCGTTGCATTGCATTTCATTTGAATGGCATCTGAAATGCACCTCCCGCCTGCAATGCATCAATCGTGCTGCACCACTGTGCATTGTGTTGCAGGAAAAAAAAAGTATTGCGCGCACGTTAAAAACAAATTGCACCATAAAGCATGCATTGCAGTACCACGCTTTACAGCAGGGGTAGCCAAACTCCGGCCCTCCAGCTGTGTTGAAACTACAAATCCCATGATGCATCTCTCTCCAGGAGTCATGTCTGTGGATGTGAGAATCTTGCAATGCCTCATGGGATTTGTAGTTCCACCACAGCTGGAGGGCCAGAGTTTGGCTACCCCGGCTTTACAGCACGATTGATCGCATTGTAGGCAGAAGGTGCGTTTGGGACACCATAACACACCTCCCGCACTGTTAATGTGCAATTGGCATGTTGTGCCGTACCATGTGTTATTGCACAGACCCCCGTGTAAATGGGCCCTTAACATATAAGTGCCAACACAGAGCAACTATGGGGGCACGCAGTTCTAAAGAGCTGGAGTAGGCATTCTGTTTACCAAATAAAACAGATGAAAACAGTTCTAACGGACATGGGATTTCCTCACAGCATTGTCAGGACAACCTATAAATATACTCTACGTTACTATACTTAGGTTGTCATTTAGAAATACTTCTGCATGGCGAGAGACCTACAGCTCCACAACTGGGCATGCCATTTCCTAGTATATATTAGATTTCACTGCAACACAGCCTTCTATAGTCTTCAGCTGGTCCGAGTCCTTTAGCTGGCTAAATAAACCAAACCTCGGTGACATAGTATAGCAGAACAGCAAAGCAGAATTCATTTGATACATGACACACCAGAGCAATCACTTGCAGAGTATCTGTGCCAGACCTTAATTCATACCTTTTAAAAGCTAATAAAGGCAGCTCCTCAGTACTGTGCATGTGTTTAGACATCACTCTGCAGGATTATTTCATGCTGAGGAATCTGCAACTAATTAGATATTCTGCTTCTGAGTTTACCTAATATGCCTGGAATGAAACTGTCGACCACATTCCCCCGTTTCAATGCATCTAGTTCTACAAGAGAACATTTTACTTGCACTGGGTACTTAAGTCAACTACTTAGAAAAAAGGAGATGTGCCCGTTGGCAGCTAAACAGACAGCATGAGGACTAGAATGCTGTGGAAATACCTAAAGCAGTAGCACCCAAAAATATACTCAAACCTATACAAAAAATATACGATTAAGAAAGTTATGATTGCTAAAATACTTGCACCTCTCCTTTAAAGCTTGCAATTCAGAAGCCAGGCATGTGATCTACCTTACATTAGTAAAGTGGTCCTAGGAAAGTTGAACGATCAGAGTTCAGGCAGGCACAATGACAGCGTGGATGGGTCCTAGCCGAAAATGTCAATAGCGCTTGGCTTTGATAAACACTGAAGGGCTTAAGCATTGGCCACACTCTAGGACAAAAGGGATTCTAAATGCCTAAAAAGCCCATACATTCTCATCAAGATGTCCATGCACAGAAGATCAGTGAAAACTCTGACCCAATACATTCAGATCAGGAAACATTTGTGATCAGCTTCTGTGATCTGGGCCAAGAACTAATGAGAGGCCATAAATTGATCCACAATGTAACTTATTCAAAAAACCTGCTCCTCTGGATGACACGTTTCAACCACACAGGGCTTTGTCAATGATTTTAAACCCACCTGGTTGACGCGTTTCCACCACAAAGGGCTTTATCAAAGATTTGATACCCACCTGGTTTAAAACACATTAGCTAGAGTTTCGGTATAGATTTTTTTCTTACTTGCCTTGCAATGTTTAAGTGGATTACAATAATGGATCTGGTTTTATATTCCATGGCTTGCTGATCAGCTCAAGAGTGTTGACTGGGAAACATGAAGGCGTCAAAAGGCACGCAATACTCTGCTGGAAACCTCTAAAAAAAAAAATGTAAGCCCAGAATTGGGTGAAACACAATAGTGGCCTGGGCCTGAGGTGGTGGAGTTTGTGTAGTTGTGCGATTTTTAATAAACGTTTCCAACGACATATGGAGTGCAGCCGGATGTTTTATAGTTTTGACAGCAGCCAACATGGGAGTGAGGACGTGCTCCAGCCCCTGCTTGTGTGCTGTGGAGGAGTGGTGCAATCCTTTGAGAGTTTTGGAAACATGGATGAGCACACAGATCGAGCACCCCTTATTTAAATATGAGGAGTGCCTATGGAGGGTGATGCAGCAGGGAGATCTGCATGTATGTTTATACCACAATTGTTTTTAAAGAAGCCAATACCTTGTAAAGGCATTAACCATTGCTTGACTGCAGTGGGGGCAAAATACATATGAGGTGCTTAATCAGTGTGTATACGCAGCCTCAAGTAAGGGTCCAAGAGTGTCTGGCAAGCTAGAGGTTAAATCTACCCAGAAAATCTAGCAATCTGAAGTCTGAATTTCAGCGCACAGCTTAAAATACACTGTAAACTTCTGAAGTTCACAGCAGTTCTTCAGCAGTATTCTAGAATTTGATTCTGCATTTAGAAACGCAGAGTTACAGATGTTTGCATTTCTGGTTTCTAGTGAAAACCACACTCCTCTGCCCCTTTCCTAGTGTAATGGGTGTTGGGCTCAGTGACAGAAGAGTACAGGCTTGTACTGTTTCACATGCAGAGGAGCACAAAGAGCCAGTCTGTGCCATTTAACCCTTTCTAGCCAACAGTCCTTTAAATCTCTAATGTACAAAGAAACAAAAGCATTTGGCTCAGCATGTTCATAAGAGAAAATAACTCAGGTGAACTGCACATTGGTTTAGAAGGACTATCCAGGCATTCATTTCATCACTGGAATAACAAGGTGCTGTTGCATGGTCTGGGACACAGCTGACACGAGGATTGCTTACCAGTCAAGGTGTAGCAATGCCCAATATGGGTGTGCGTGGATTTTGTAACAGAAATGATCAGCTTGCTGCAGCTAAAAATAGACCACAGTATACCAGTTGCGTATGATGAGCTAGCACTGTACTAAAGCAGAAGCCTTGCTTGCTGACATCTGAATTGTAGAGTAGCAAAGGAGAATCCTCTTTCCTCCTGTTAAAGGGGCAGGAGGATTATTTAACCCCGGCACGCCTCTCAAATGCAACAGATTGGCCCTTGGGTATTACAGGGAATAGGGTACTGATCACTAACGTTCCTTTGCAAACCCTAGAAAACTATACAAATTCTGGGATTTTCAGTGATGATATAATGCGCTGGCTGTATTCCATATGGTGACTCCACCCTCAACAAAGCTAACTGCTTAGCAGCTTACACTGACCCTTCTCTACATTTACATATAAAGAACAAGGTTTGCAATGTCACAGTTCGGTGCTGAAGTCCTTTACACAGAACAGAAAACAAGTGCACAAGCATACATTAAAACACAAAAAGCACAGCACTAAGCCTGGGTTCACACCTAGGAGTATTGCAAAAGCGCGTCTGTCGCGCGTTTTTTTTTAACCGCGATTCCGAAGGCTACTTGGCTGTATTCCAATGGAAAAAACGCCCTACAAAACGGCCCAAAGTAGTACCTGTACCTTTTCAGGCGTGGGCCGTTTTGTAGCGCGTTCGGGACGGGCGGACATACGGCAAGGTGGGAACGAGTCAATTGACTCCAATGCAATTTATATTTTTGAGCGTTTTGTAGAGCGTTCTTCTGCTACAAAACATTCAGGTGTGAACGAGGGCTAAGGGCTGGTTCAGATAAGTGTCAAGCTGCAGGTTGACCCATGTGCACTTCCTTGGCAGCTAGCCATGATTTGCTACACCAGTGACTGGCCCCATTCATCTCTATGTAGAAATGGATTTGTCATTCAAACACCACACAGGCTGGTGCAGGCACAGACTGGTGGTCAAAACATTTATGGGAGCCAGTGTCTGTTCCCACAATGGCTGGCAATGTGTCCGAAAGACAGCTCCATTTATCTATAGAGGTAGTGAGGCTGCCGATCGTGTCACAGCCATTCAAGCTGGGGAAATAAGTTAGGGGCAGCACTGCAAACCTCTCCTATGAACGCACCCCAAGGGCACATACACTTGAGACTGGACATACATTTATATTGTGTGCCTGAGAATATGCCATCAGCAGGGGTTAGGCATATACTTGCTTGATTATAATAGAGATGCACCTTGGTGACTTGAATGAACTACAAACCTTGACAGAGCTGCACTAGATTTAGATTTTAGTAAATAGCTAGTGTGCAGTATAGACTACTACTTTAATTAGTGATAACTATATGTAGACTATGCCCTATTCCAGTACATTACAAGTGACCAGCGGTACCAGTACAAGCTCTTTATTGCTACTTTTCTCAATTCATAGCTATCTAGCATTATTTCTCTTTTCTGTTGGATGATCTAATCCAATACCAATAATAAAAGAAAATAATTTCAATCAAGAAAGGATGAGGATGAGGTCACTAAATGTGTAGGTAAAGTGGAGTTTCACAGCCACTTTGCAGAGAATGTTAGAGGGACATGAAATGACAACATGTCAATATTACTACACAAGTCCCAAAAGACTAAAATGACTAGCAGATATCTGCCCATAAACAGGGAGATACAATACATGGGAGAAGCAGATTTATCATCAGCAACGTTTTAAAGCAGCACATTCCAGCTGCATTTCTTGGAGAACTAGAAAGCACAATATGTTTAATGGAACAAGTTCCTTTCCATATTGGGGCCAGGTATTGACAGAAATAAATTCTATATTCAATAGTTGCATTGAAAATTCACCTCAGGCTTGTATGATGAGGTGGAAATATCAATCCCAGAAGACAAGAGTTGCTATACACAGAGTTCTTTTTACAGCTAGAATTATTGGGAGAAAATGGATATCCACCTCCTCTCCCCTGCTATCTAAGAGGCTTGTTGAACTCTATAGGATTGTGTCCTTTGAACGTATATCATACCAGCAAAGAGGGTTGGAAAAAGTTCTCTTTAATAAAGTGCCAATGGTTTACTTATCGAGCTTCTAGTTGGGCACCAATTGATAGTCTTTATATCCTTTCTATAAGTATGCATTGACACAGGCACTGTTTTGTGACAATTTCGTGCAGGGGGTTGGGTATTGTCAACAAACTTATATGCAAGGTTATCTATATCCGATTTAATACATATGTGCTTTGGCCGTATGTTTTATTCTTGTGGTCCATTTGTTGGAAAAAAAAAAAGCTGCAAGCTTCAAATGCCTTATAAAAAAGTCCAGCAAATTAATGTATTGCTGCCATAGGCAAAGAGCCCGAGTTTTAAAACCAGATGAATCTACAGTGGACCTGAAAGTGACGCTAAACACAGGAGTCAAATTTTAAAAATGCATTCAAGTCCCTTAACAAAAATGTATCTTATGTGTGTATCACTCTGCTGTATATCATCTCTGAATTGTTGCTGACACTGTCCTTCCTTCTGGAGGGTGGCTACTTTTGTTCCCCATGGTCCCTGTGTGTGTAGTAAAGTAGTCACCGCTCCAAGCTCTACAACACACGCGGGGACCATGCAGAGATGATTTGAGGATCTACAGCTGAGTGATACACAAATAAGATACATTTTTGTTAATACATTTTAAGATTTAACTCCTGAGTTCAGAATTACTAAGAAATTATAGAACCAGTGTTTCCCACAATAGTGGCCATATACAATGAAAGCTGCCTGCCCATTGTGACATTGAAACAAAGCAAAACTAAAAATCAGAGTAATGCAGCAATTTGGTTTTCAAACTGAAAAATTCTATATCAGAATAAACATGCAACCAGTTATTCCCCTTTGTCAAACTGATACCAGATTACAGACTTGTCTGCTCTCCATACATGGGCCAAATATCAGCAGATCAGCAAACAATTACAGTTGACTTTACTGAAGTCAGACAAAATACAAGACTGGTTGCCATGAGTAGTGCACCACTATTGAATAAACCCACCAGTGTAGAATGATGCAAGCTTGTAGAGATCAGCCCATGCTTTCCACACACAGAGGTGTATTATGAGTAGACATTTTAAAAAATCAGCACATTGTTTTACCCGCAATGCCTGGAGAACTGGACAGCTTGCCTTGTTTAATAGGATATGCAGGCTGGATTGGGAATTTGTATTTTAAAGGGCTAGCTTCACGCCAGCCACAGTACGTTCCTGCCTGATTGTGGCCAGAACGTGCTAGATCGCATTCGGGCCAGCTCACTTTGCTTTGGGGCAGTGCATTGAAGGCAATGGCAACCCCCCAGCCACAGTGCCATTGACTTCAATGCACTGCCACACCCCAAAACAAAGTGAGGCGGCCAGAACACGGTCCAGTGCTTTGCGGCACCAATCAGGCCGGAACGCACTGTGGCTGGTGTGAACTAGCCCAAAGACTGAACCCCACCATAATATATTTTTAATAGGATAGTTTAGCAACAGTAAAAAATGTTCCACAGCAACACAGACCAACTCTCACCTGTTGCAGGATAACACCGAGGGAGTTCTTGTCTTTTTGATTAACGCCATCTCTATGTAAACGAGCAAGTATCTCTGGTTTTTTATATGGCTTCAGTGCCAGCAGATGAATCACCCTTTCCCTATATGGACGTTGTGCAATACTGTTGCTGATACTTGTCTTTCGTATGGTGCTTGCAGGGTTAATGGGCGTAGACCTTTTCCTTTCTGGTGCTGCATCTAGAATACTATTTGCTGGTTTACGAATATGGACCCTCTTCCCTACAAAAGATCGCAAAAATGCAAGTTAGGGGGAAAAAAAAAAGGGAGGCCCAAAACAAGTCTAGAGAGTGGCACTCATGGAAACAAAATGGGGAAAAGGCGGCTTTACGTCTCGTTTCTCCATTCAACAGCACTGAGCTCCTGGGCCACAGCAATGCTGCTATTCAGTTATTACAGTTAATCTTTAGGATGATCGATTCTCATACATATTACTTCATTGGATTTGAAAATTTGACTTTGTAATAAGTAGAAACTGTCTACTTGTTCTAGTAATTGGCAGACCTAACAAGCAGCAGGGTTAAAGGCAAGTCATAATAGATCCTGCTGAGGTTATAAAGTGTCATGGGCATATTTCCAGCGCCAAAGGAATGGTGCCAACCCAGATGCCAGACTGATACGTTTCACTTGTATTCTTTAGAGAAAGCTCAGATGTTATACCTCTAGTTTACTCAGTGAAGCAAAGATACTTGACAAGGGCAAGCAATCTAAGCAAATGCACCAAATATATTTTTGTTATGTAGAGATCAAATAAACAAAATTCTCAAACCAAAACATTTTAGAGATAGGGCAACTTTAGCAAAATGAGCAGGGATAACGGTAGCCTCATACTGGTAGATTCCACCTTCTGACCAACACCATTTCAATGCAAAAAGCAGCTCTGGTGCTACAGGTAGAAGTAAGCAGTCTGAGAATTTCAAATCAGAGGATCGGCAAAAGCAAGCCGCACCAGTCAATTAGAATTCTCAGTTTACATGTAAACAGTTACCCTATAAAATGGTTATACTTTGGACAGAAATAATAAAAAAAAAAAAAACCTGCCGTTTACACTAAGCCATGCCTGGAAGTTATGGTGGATCATGTTGAGAGCAAATATCAGATTTAACACACTGACATTTGGAAGCTCATCACATCTTAGTCTAAACCACCTACTAAGCCAGGTAATATGCCGATTGATTCCAAAACCATTTTCTAAAGTTTAGCCAAAAGTACATCTAGAGTCTACAGCCTGCACTTACCTACAAATGGGCCACCAGGTTTTATGACCTTAGTGCCACGGCTCCGTGTATCTTCTTCTGCCTGGGTCATGCGGTCTCTTGTAAGCTGGTAGGAGTCATTAGTGGCACATACTGTAATCTTATCTTGTATGAATCCCAAGCAGTTCAGTTTTGAGAGCCCCGAGCTTTTAAAGGCAAGAAAAACAAAAACAAAAAAAGGTTAGTTGATCTTTAGTTTAAAGCAGAAATTAACAAAACTAGTATCAGAAGTTCACTTTGTTTGCAAAATCTGGGTGACAATAGCAATACCCTGGAAACATACCTATAAAAGGAAACCTGCAAATACTTATATCTCCTGCTGCTTGTGCAGTCAAACTACTCCGCTAAGTAGAAATAGTCCCTGAAGCCCAATGGGGACAGGGAACCAAAGGGATTAACATACCAAGGAGTGCCCGACACTCACTGGTATCTCTTGCGGACTCTCCACATCTCCAGTAGGAGTAGCTTTAAGGGCCGGCACTAGCTTAAAGCCCATTTCCACCTTTGTAGAGGTATTTAAAAAAACAAAAAGAATAAAACATGCCAGCAATGTGCACTGAGTTTACATGAAACAGGCATATGCAGCTGCTGTCCAAGAACCCACAAACTTACTTTTTTGTTAGCTTTCCTCTTCCTCTCCTCATGCAAAAAGGTCTGCTTGTGTTTTGCAAGCTCCTTCTCACCTCTCCCATTCATTAGTATTCAGTGTATTGTCTAAAGGCAGAGGTGCCGTTTACTGATCATGCTACAATGAACAAGGAGGGGGGAGAGCTGCTTTACAGCCTAATTACCATCTGACCCTGGTGTCGGACTGATTTTCCTGTGGAGACAATTTTGAATTTTTAGGCCTAAGGCCTAATAAAAGGGTCATTGCAAAGGTGGAAATTGACTTTAAGGTTTACCTCATGAAAACAAGAAGGTGGAGAGGGTCTGTTGCGCACAAGAATAATAATTACACTGATGTTTATCTGGAATTTTTCTTTACCATTAAATGTATCTGATAAAGGTATGCAACCAAATCAAAGCCATTGCCTGGCCAGCCAAAAATATGGTCCAGGTAACATACATCTGCATCATCAACTACAACCCAGAACAGCGTACATTCCAATGACATAAATGAACAGTTTAGCTTCTTACCTTGATACGGTTTGCTGGATACAGTCAAAGCTGCCTTGAGGGTTATCTTTTCCCACATTTGACAGATAGAAGTTAAAGTTGTGCATTTCATTGGGGCTAACTGATTTTGGAATCTTGATACACTGAAAGAGTGGAGACAGCAAGGTAGTCATTTGCTCACAACATGTCCTAAAGTGCAGAGAAATATGGAGGCTGCCATTGGAGCCGGAATTCCTTATTTCCATATTTGTTCTGGTTCAATGACTCAAAGCATGATAGGCAGGCATCCAGCATTTGCAGAAGGAGCATTTTTTTTTTCCTTTGGGCAGGTGCAACCGCCAAAGATATTAACTATAATCATATACAGAAAGATACCTTTGATGGGTGTAACCATACCAATAAACAAACAGCTGAGAACTGCAAGAAATTCAGGGGAAGCCCCACTGCAAAGGCTAAAGCGACACAAAACCCACAGCTTTTTTTCTCTTTGTACACATCTACACAATGATCATTCCCCAAAGTCATTTACGTTTTAAAATAAAGTCTTACTATTTCAATCCCTTTAGAAAGTCTGCTGTGCTCGGTCACGTGGCTCTCCTCTCACACTTCCTGTCCCTTAGGAAGAGCGGTGCATGTTGATTCTGGTCACATCTTTCTTTGCCTACAACTCCCATGAGGCCGAGAGGAATCATCTCGCTACACACACCCGGCTCCTCCCCTCCCTCTCACTATACACACTGAGTGTCACTGCTTGTAAGCTGTGCAATGCTCTGAATTATCAACACTATTGACAACAAATCCACAACAAACAAAAATCACATTTACAACAAATCTACACAGAAAAACAACTGTATTTCAAATGTAGGAGCCGTATCCTCTGACCAGATTCAGCGTGTGAGCTGAGAAGTAGAAGGCTGGTGACAGGTCACATGCTGAATCTCCTCTCCTCCCCCCACACTTCCTCCTTAGTAAGCCAGGAGGAGAGAAATCACAGATCATATATCAGTGTGGGAGAGCGGAGGAAATCCCAGCTCCTTGCAGAGTCTAGAGGGGAAGATTTGTGGGAGGGGACTAGGAAGACACACCCTCAGCATATTGTAGTTCTTCAAATGAACCAGCACAGAGGGTGGTTACTGAAAAATAAAATGGATTTTGGACCTGTATAATGACAAAAGGGTACACAGTCATTATTTATATAATAAGTTATTTTTATTAATTTTTTAATTCAGTGTCGCTTTAAGAACATTCATGGCCAGAGTTCTGCTTTAAGGTCAGGAGTGTTGACCTTGGTCCAGTCTTGTACTAGTGGCCCGTTTGCCCATTCCATAAGCCCAGAGGGATTTGTACCCAAATCCTCTGCCCTAAACTAGCTCTTGCTTCTATTTGCACAGTAATGGCTGGCAGATTTGAAGGTCTGGATGTACACCACGTCTGGGGCACTTATTAATGAGTCCTTCTATTTGCTCTTTAAAAATGGCCATCTTAATACACGTATCACTACCAAATCAGGTAAACCTGAACGCTCTACACCTTCCTCCTAGGCCTATATTTTAAGTACTATCAGTTTTAGGGGTTTTTTGTATTTGGGGACAGTTGGGAGCAACCATTCAATTTTGCTTCCAGAAGAATGGAAAAAAAAATTGGACATACAACATTCTGCTTTTATCAGCATCCATCATACCGGGAACGATGCTCCTTTCCAGCATGAGTGCAGCAATATAGCTCGGCTGTGTTCCCCAGGCACATGCAAACTACCGAGGGACTAACAGCACTTCCCTTACATCCTCGAGAGAATGGGGGATTTACAGGCTTCCAAAATGGGTTTTATCAGGCAGTATTTAAAGCATATCCAGGAAATCTAGAGCAATAAAATAGCCAAGCACTAGCATTTGATGGCACATAAACAGCCCTCTGGCTTTAAGACCTCTACAGAGTCAGAGCCATCATAAAACCTTAAATGTATGCAAGTTCTATGAAACCAGATGACTGCTTCTAATGCAATTAACAGCACAGTCCCAAAGAAAAAAAAAAGGAGGGGGAGGGGGGGGCTGAATATGCTGCACAAGAGTATAGTTTCCTCTTTGTAGGCTTGTTCTGGTCAGCAACTCATGTTTAAGGCAGACTGCATTTCCTATCCCTGAAAATGTTAGTTACATGACTGTCCAAGTATTGCTCCAATTAGTGTCCTAGGAACGACAGCTTTCATTTGTAGGAGCATGTGAAACGGTACCCCAGTATATACACAAAGTGTACCCTAAGAAAACCTATGGATATCATCCACAACTTCTCAGCAAATCGAAAAAAAAAAAAAAAAAAAGTCACATTTTACTGATTCAAGCTTTGCATATTGACCAGAAGTAGCTGGCCAATGGGTAGTTTTTATATATACTTCCAGAATAAAATCAATAAAAGGAGGTTCTTCAGGGAACTCCCATTTACAAAATGATAACATCCCCTTAGCAGCTTGAAGTGCGGTGTCGACTGGAACTTAGATGTTCGAGTGCATGAAAGCCTGATAGGAAGTTCCTCTAACCTCCCACTGGAAAGGCTGTATTTGGGAACCAATGTAAGGGGACAGTCCTGAAGGGAAATGAGTACGGAATCCTTGGCAGCTTTAGAAGCCTGAATTTCGTAAAATGTGCCAAGTGAATTGCTGCTCGGAAATCACTTCCCCTTCTAAAACACAATACTCACAAATAAACCGACAGGACTGCAGCAATACCCAAACAAATGGCAATCAGGTTTCTCTTTAAATAACTCACATTATTTGCTCCAATTACTTCTGCTAATAGGATTTTCAGTGGACGTAGAAGATGGACCCCCTGCCAAGAGCCTGGCAGCCAGTCATCCCACATTTCTGCCACAGGAACTCTATGCACTGCAATATAACTGGAAGGGAAGGAATCTACAGCCAGCACTGGAGAAGGAAAATAGGGCTACTAAACAATTAAAAAAAGAATAACCTATACTGCAACAATAACATGAGGAACACGCTTCTGTGCAATTAGAGGAATGTTAAAAGGAGATAAGTAGAAAGCAGCATCAAAGGCCAGACAAAACCTGCTGTGACTGCCGAAGATAATCATGTGAAATGTATTCACAAAAGATTATCAGCCTTTCACAAACACAAGTAGCACAGAAGCCTTTCCAAGAAAAGCAAGGTGTCACCCTGAAATGTGGAAAGACAGCGCCGCTTCATCCTAGACCTCAGCACATTACAAGTCTACATAGATCAACCAAGCATTGCTACTTCTGCAACCCCATTGGAACACCACCTACTTTAGACATGTTCCTAATCACACGGCATAACTTACAAAATACTGTAAACTCCGTTATTCGGCATCCACAAGGATTGGAAGATCCGGATAAATTTAGTTTCTTGTTGCTTGAGAGTTACTATTATAAATAGGTCTAACTATGCCATACTCCATACTATACCATTAACTCTGTATTAACATTAAAATGCAGTAATCAAAGACAAGATCGACACGATAATTTCCAGGACAATACATGCCGCAGATCATCAAAACAGCGAGTACACAGGGGATTTGTTTTTTCCTGGTTAGATGAGAGCTCTGGTTATTCGAATACCGGATAAGGCTCCATTCACACGAGCGGTTTTCCATGCATATTCAGCTGTACGAATATGTGCAGAACCACGCTAAACATGGATTGCAATTGTACGCGACTGCGCATCCCACAAAAAAAGTCCAATCAAGATTTTATGGGAGGATTCCGCACGTTCCAGCTATAGCAATAGCCACAAACGTGCAGAATCCACACGTATGTTAACGTGTGTGCAGTTTCTTCCCGTGCAAAAACCGCTACTGCTATGTGTGAATGGAGCCCAAGAGTTTACTGTATTTACATATTGCAGCCTAGATTTTAGCTACATTTTCCTGCTTAGTTCTTAGGCCCCTTTCACACGGGCTGATCAGGAGGTGATCTGTGCACGGTTCCTCTCCTGATTGGAGCGGTACTGAAGGGATCACTCACCACTGTGACATCTGTACCTGTAATGACCAGACCCCATGTAGGTCTATGGAGAATCAGATTTCCCTGCACCGAATGTTAAAGGAGAACTATTAGGTGAGTGCTTTTCACTCACCTCATAGTTCTAGCCGACCTGTGACAATGAGACTGTCACAGGTCGGCTCAGTAGATCGGGAGGTGAGGGAACACATACCGGGTTCGCTCGCCTCTCGATCCTGTCACGGCTCCCTGCCGTAAAAAGTGGAAATGCACTGGAAATAACCTGTGAATTTTGTTTCCAAAGCAGCTGCAACACCTACAACCGACCTTAAATGCAAACAAACTCAAGGACTTTTCAGGAAGGGCCACAGATACAGCTTTATACTGGAGGAGCTGTTTACTTTTCCTATTTGTTGTGTGCACTGTGTGACCTGTGCTGTACCCCTTCCCCTCTGTCTGCTCACAGTCCTATCCGGCCTAAAGACGCACTGTTCCAGCCTGGATCCTCTGAAAGCATGCTTCTGTTTGCACTGAGGGAGTCTGCCGAATCGTCAGCAGCACATGCACATCACATGGACACTGAGCACGAGATCCAGATAGGGCCATTCACTAGAATGAACATGTGGGGTCATGCTTGGGACAGCAGGGGTAAAAAGGCACTTTACACATTGCCTTAATGTTTGGCTGTCGCTGGCCATCTACAAGCTGGACACTTTTTTTTTTTTAAAGTACTTGTCCAAGGACTAAAGCAGGGGCCCGATGTACTTGTCATAAAATTATTTTTAGTAACCAAAACCATATTTAACCGTGCAAAGCGCTTTTCATTGGACAGTGCAGTCACCATTCTCTGAGCGAATCGCTCACAATTTCCGAGCGAATCTCAAAATCCATAGTGTAGGGCTGTGCTGGACGGCAGTATGGGGTACAGATAGTGTGGAGGGGAAGAAGTGTTTGCCAAAAGGCAAGTATAGCCGCCCAGATCACGTTTGCATTAATCTTTAAAAGAGAACTAGGGAGTTAAGTGTTTTTCCCCATAGTTCTTTTAAGGGTCACGGGAGGACATATACTAACTTTCTCCCGTGACCCAAAGCTCAGTATATAGCCGACTATTGCCCGCGGTATACTGAGACCGCCGCAGCCGGGACAGATCCCGACAACACTGTTGAGATCCACCCGGCTGCATGAGTTACAGCGGGCTCTGCCCATCTAGAGGCAGAGCCAGCTGTGCCCACCCCCTCTCCCAGTCTGTTCCTCCACTCAGCACTGGAGGATTGGAGAGGGGAGGGGGCAATCCGTGCGGGGAGCGGTGAGTCACCGCTCACTGCAGGGTAAGGATCGGGAGTGAGCGGATTGGTGCATGTTTCTGCTAACTTCCCGATCAATAGAGCCGACCTGCAACAGCTTCTTTGGAGTGGAAATCACTCACCTCATATTCTCCTTTAAATGGCACTCTGTGGGATTTAAGTACAACATGATGGCCAAACGTGTATGTTAGAAAACTACAGCAAGATCTATAGCCATCCTTTAAAAGTAGACCTCATTAGTATGCCCAGTCTGTTTCCCAATTATAATTTCCCAAACTTCCATAGCTTAACAGTTCTGTGGTTTAAACTGACACAAAGCCCAACATTCAGACATGCAGGCAATGCAAAAACTGGCAAACAGCCCAACTTCAAGATCTGCAAATAATGGTTAAAGGTTTTAGCAATAAATCATACCAGTAAAGAGAATAACATTGACACGTCTAATTATGCACACTATTGATTCTCTATAAAAAAGTATTTTCTTGAGCACTTTACCAGTTAGCAACCTTGCGTCATGGAAATTACCTGGCACCACCTAACTAAAATCAATGGATCGCCAATGTAGACATAAAGTCCCATTTAGAACACACTTTTGTTTAGACTCAAACATAAAAAAGGCTGAAACTGTATGCAGGGCTAAAAATGACAAGTTGTTCTTGCAGGGATAGAAGGCAATGAAGGAAACATTGATCACAAGGCATTCACACAAAGTTGAAATTCAAATGCATGTATGCATGCCCCAAAATGTTCAGTTTTGGATACAGTATGGAAGGATCAAAACCCCTATTTTGTTTATACTTTGGGTCCTATTGGGAATTTTCCCATTACTTCCTGTCCTAGAGACACAGCAGGAAGTAACAGGATATCTCAAAATTATATCGCTTGTACAAAGACTTAGAGATTTAAACGTTACTTATGGGTGGACCTTAAAGAGAATCTGCCACTTTGCCAGTAAAGGGCAAATGACAGGTTGAGTTGAAAGTTCACCCCTCTCATCCAGGTCAACCTACCACTCTAGCTTTCTGAGCAAATCTTAAAAATATCTGGCACTTTCTGATATGGGAAGGATGTGGCCCCTTCCTCCCCAGATGCAGCATTTAGGATTGAACAGCCAATCACCAGGCCCGCACAATGATCAGAGGGAGAGGAGCAGGTCATTAACCCATTTACGTATCCTCATACAGTGATTAGACACTTGGTTCCAACAGATAAGCAAATAAGCCAAGAGGAATTGTGACAATTAAGGGACGGGGAAGTCGGCTTTCAGGAGAACCTGTCATTTTAACTTGAAAAGCAGAGAAACAATGAAAACAAACATCCTGTTAGCAAGAGACTGTTAAAGCTGAACTCAAGGCCCATATACTACAAATACCCCTCTTTGTCAATACATCATAAAATGCAAGCAGTATAAGGCCCAGTGCAGACCTGAGCGATCCAGGATCGCACGGTCCTGCACAATTGCAGACAGTGATTGCCGTGCGGCCCCACTGATTTCAATGGGGTTACATCCACAAGGCAATCGCAGAAAAAAGGTACGTGTACCTTTTTTCTGCGATACATGACGCACGGCTGTTTTAGGATGCACGGGCGGAATCGCGGTGGGAAACCACACGATCCCCCGGCGTGACTGGGGTGCCATTCGAAAATAATGGCACCCACAGTACAATAGTCTGTGATGGGCGAATGCGTGACCGTGCGGTAATGTGCATGATTGCCGTGCGGTCACAGATCCCCTAGGTGTGCACGCGCCCTAAGTGTCTGAATTTGATTTGGTATCACCCTCTTGCAGTCTGTCCAGACTAAATAGCAGAGCCAAGGAGAGTGGGGAGAGAGATGAAGCACAAAGAGCAAACTGGGTGTGCTACAATGCAAGGAGCTTGCTGATAAAAGGAGAGGATAAAGGGACAGATGTGCTCAGCAGCCTACTGCTTCTCTTTACATTGGCCAGTCAAAGAGTGGTGGGGTGAGGGCATGTGGGTAAAATTGAAACTACAGCAAAGAAAGATCAAGTCTCCTACTGCTAGAGACTGTTATGTGCAGCAGAGCTGGATGGACAGAAATACAAGTCATTTGCCAGATAAGCAGCTCTATGTACTGTAAAGGGCTGGACAAATCCCAGTAACCAATGCTCCTTAAAAACTACAGCTGGCGTCTAGCTTGTGATGTTTTCTCTGGTTGTTTTCAATGGAGCCGGCTCCTAAAAATCCTGCTCACTGCTGGATTAGACAGAGTGACTGCCAGATTCTTAATTAATTTGTTCACCCCTTATTAAGATGAATGCCTGGAGTTCAGATAAATTAGGGTGGTGAAAGATGTCCCAATCCCACAGCAGAAGCAACATTCTTATAAGTACAAGAAAGCATAGGACTATCTTAGATGAACGCTTTGAACACTTCTAATTTCAGAAGCTTTTAACACTGCGGTTTCTCAACTTTTTAGAAAATACCCATATGTTAACAGATTCGCAGGACTGGAAATTAGATTCTCCCCTTAAATGACAGACAGCAATAACTCAGTTTCTAACCCATTCCCTCTGCCCAGCAATCAGTTTGACTTGAAAGATTATGGGCAATGACATGAAAGGAAAGTACTGCCGAACTTAAACAGCAAATCCTCCTTTCAATTAGCAACCAAATCTAACTTTGACCCTCTATTAGACATCATAATTAGGAATGCACCGTTATATCGGCTGAAAATAGCACTTTTGGCATAATGCCGAAAGTGCTATTTTCTGGCCAATACAGCGGTGCATCCATTCTTTCTCTCCTCCCTGCTGGGCGCTATTCTGTGTCCCAGCGGGGAGGAGAGAAACCGTTACATGCGGCCGAGCGCTGCGGGAGGAGAGTGCTGTGAGCGGCTGGCGCCTCTCCTCCCACACCGCTCAGCCTCCTATCACAGTCTGGCAGAGCGGTGTGTGGGCAGAGACAGCCAGCGCTATCACAAGAGGCTGAGCTCTCCTCCCCGCATCGCTCAGCCTCCTGTGACTGCCGTCAGGATTAAGAGTGGTACAAACACTCAAGTGATTGCTGAGTGTTTGTAAATAATGGAGGACATAGTATGGTTACTGTGTCCCCAATTATGAATGAATGGGAAGTGATCTACATCACCTCCTGTTCAGTCATGATTGTGGTTATAGTAAACACAATGTTCTCATGTTATAAATGAACAGGAACACTCAGAAGATTCCTGTTTATTTATAACAGGGGCTACAGAAAGAGAATGAGGACTCACTTTTTCTATATTAAAAAAAGGGAAATATCAGGGGTCTGTTTAGAACCCCAATATTTCCCCAAAGTCCCTAAAAGTAAAAAATAAAAATATTTACAAAAAAATGAATTTGAATAATTTAAACAAATTAAAGTTTATTAAAATTATAAATAAAAATAGAAATTGAAAAAGTTACAAATAAAAAAACATTTTTCGGTCTGACTATTTCGGTTTTTAAATTTTCATTTCAGCGCTCCTCTAATCATAACGCAGATGACTGGGTAAGCAAGTGAGACTGATGTGACATGGGTATTATGCAGAACTGGAGTTTTGCACATAATGGATTTTTAAAAACTAGAAAAATCAGTTTGAGATTAACTTTTGACTGCTATGTAAAGATGCTAAAGATTGGAACTGAAGCCACCCATGTAAAAAGCGGTTTCTTGTTGGTAATCAGCAGGGGATCCATTGGGACACCACTGGTGACATCAGTGTCAGGATGCATGCCCAGTTTAGATCCAGGTGTCCATAGACCAACATTGGACATCCGATCAGATCCCCCTGAAAGACCTGATTGGAATTCCTGTGTGAGAGGGGCCTAAACTTATTTTTTTTAATTAAATGGTTTACAAAATAGCTTATGGTCATTAAAATAAAAAGATCAATACTTACTCCTTGGAGTCCCTGAAATTGAATTGATGGGCGTGCAGATATTGAATTCTATAAAAGAGACAGAAAAATAAAAACTAATTAGTTATTTATGTCTACTGTCATGGTCTACAAAGCAAGTCCACCCAAAACTGATCATTTAGTTTTAGGACGATGCCGATTGTTTGGACTCACCAGCTTCCTACTTCTGCAAGATAATAGAACTGTGAATTTTGGGTAGTTGCCTATCTAGCCATCTCAAAGAGCTCACTCCCACCTTTTCTTTAATTTACAAAGAATGCATCAGCAAAGCTGGCTATTATAAGAAAAAAAAATATTTGGAATTCCAAAAAGGGGAGAAATAAAAAGCAAGTGGATAGTTTAGGTCACAAGCATCCAACTGACGCTGGAAAAATCCATGGAACCAGGTAGAAAAGATTCCAAAATATTACAGCAGGAGCCTAACTTTTTGAAACCTCCAGGCATCTAACTGTGCATTCCCAGCCGCTAAATTCACACACACACACACACACACACACACACACACACACACCTCAATCCCTCATTCATTGACATGCATGTGATCTGACTATAGAGTTGACTGGTAAAAACAAACACACAAAAAAGGTTTAAAGTGCAAATGAAGACAATTTGTTTTAGTTTTGGATAGAACAGAGGAGGATAAGAAGACCGGTTAGGATTTCTATTGCTGTCCGTGTCCCAGGAAGGTATATTTGTCCTGGTGACCGGTTTCATTGAAAGTAAAAGAAAATCCAAAAAATTGTGGGTTGCTACCAGAGCAGAAAAAATAGGAAATCTTCCAATGGGGACACTAGCTCTGGCAACTCGGCTGACCAGCTGGGGATTTCCCCTCATGTTCTGCTGTGGCTACAAGGCAGGAAGTGAAGGGAAATCACCCCAATGGAATACAGATATGCATAGTAAAATAAAAGGGGTTATAACCCTCACTATTTAAAAAAAAAAAAGTTATGGTTTCTGTTTGACTTTAAGAAAACCCCCAAAACATGTAAAGACCACAATTTATTAGTTTAAAAAAAAAATAGCAGTACAACTCAGCTACCACAGAGCTTTTCTGAAATGTAAATAAAAATAAGATTGTAGACTGCGAATGCATCACTTCAGACACCATTGTCATATTTACACATTAGTACAAAGAACAAGCAGCAATGATCCAACTACAACTCAGGCACGTTATTGTGGCAATATTAACCATAATTTGTCTGTGCCCAATGGCTGCGTACATCGTGTCCTTCACCAACAGAGCTAAATCCGACGACCATCAAAAAAGTGGGCAGTACAAGAAAACATGTCACCAGGAAACAGTTAAAGACATCGGGGGGAATTTATCAAAACTGGAACAGAAAATATCTGGAACAGTTGCCCATGGCAACCAATCAGCTTCTCTCCAGTTTGTTCAGTAAAAATTTGAAAATGAAAGAAGCCGATTGGTTGAGATGCACAGCTGCTCCAGATTTTCTCTGCTGGAGTTTTAATGAATTCCCTTCATTGTGTATATAAACCATTTTACGTATCGAAACATACATTATGGGTTTCTTCAAAAGTCCAAAGAAAATGGCCAATTAGATTTTTATCTGGGATGTACACAAATAAGTTATAATAAATAATAGCCACTGCATGTGTAGTTTACACTATAGGGCATTTTTTCCATTTCGGGATTACTTATGTTAGTGATTGATGACTAGCAATTTAACTGTCATGAAGTCTGTAAAATCGCTACTTTAGATCTAACCTAAAGCTGATCATACACCACTTGATTTCCCCCATCCACACTGTAGCATGTGGATGAAGGAATCTCCCCCGCTGGTTACTGTATTCTAACAGCCACTGCTCTCGCTGCATTAAGATGACCCAAACATCTGAATGGCAGTAGGTAAAAACCGGCACTTATAAAGGGGATCCATCACTTTATTTGTAAGGCATAAAAGCAGCAAATGCTAAATGGCTGCAGTCACTGGTCAACAATTTTGCACCTGGCTCCATCAAAAAAGTTGACTTTGGTGGGATTATCAGGGGCAGATTCAGCAGGAAATGCATTTCCCCACACCCAATGTCCAACATTCACTCAGGAGAAAGGACCAGTACTGCACCATCAAAACTAAGCCATCCATCTTTTCTTAACATGACTGAAAGCAAAATAATTTTCTGACCACTCACTTCTAAGGAGTTGCCTAGATTTTAGTTAGTAGCCAAAACACTGAGTATATTACACACACTTGTGCAAGAAGGTGAAAACCTAGAGCTGGCACTTCCTCTTGGAGGCCATAAATACAGGATTAGAGAACAATCCGGGAATCTGGTCTTCCTGCTGGCTGGAACAATGGCACATATCAGAAGCTGCCAAATCCTTTACATTTACGTATGAATCAGTCGTCAGAGGAGATATTGAACTCCTTCAAAGGACTGGCAGACAATACACAAGTTGGAGGACAGTCCAGACCAAGTGAACCAAGCGACCAAGTGAACCACTCTGATAAGACCTCTCCGCAGTGGGTCAGCAGCCAAATAAAAACAGACTTGTTCTTTGCAGCAGTAACAATACCTGGTCTTTGGCCTAAAGTACATTTTGTCAGGGTGATCATGTTGCCAAAGAAAAGCCAAGTACGAGGACTTGTTTACATGCCTGCCAATCTCATTAACCTCAGTGAGAGATTCAGGCAGCCTTTTTACAACTTAACGCCCAATTAAATTCTCACACCTTCTTTCTCTTCATAGTCTTGTACTGCCATCTGTTCTGATTTCTTAGATTTTTGCTTGGAAATTGCCAAAGTTCAACTAAACCCAAAAAGAATATATTGCAGTTTCTATCCTTCGATATGGTGGCTGCATCACTTTCAGCAAGTACAGAAAAATCCTGGTGATCTTGCCAGAAATGCAATGCCCTCGTCACATCCTGTGAGCTCAAAAAGGAAAGCACAAAGAACCTCATCTTTGTGGAAACTACTAGTGGAGACACAAAAGGTTGGAAGACATTACATCTAAGGGCTGGTAAGCTGCAGTTTATTACATTTG